AGCCGGGATGTCGGAACCTTCGATGGAACGAAGGTGCTGAATTTGGGTCCGTTTTTCTGGGGCGTGAGAGCCCGGCGGTAGCAATACCCCCAGTCTAAAGTGTGTTTCTTCCCTTTCGGAGGCACGCTTCCAAAATTGTCCTTCTCTCTGTCAGCATCTAGAATAAGCCTGACGGAAACGAAGGCTTAAGCGTGCAGGTCCTCTTATATACACGTGTCCTCGTTTCCCGCTTGGGCACGCCGAACCCTGCTGCGGCCGTGCCATGGCGCACATAGCTGTCGCCTACCCACAGCCTGCGCGAGCTCTGACCCGGGAGCTGAGGCTGTTCCCGTGATTTTGGGAGTTCCCACTGCTGGCCGAGGCAGGGAAAGGTGGTTTGTGGGCCTGGACAAGAACAGCCCAAGTCCTTGCAAGCCTCTGGGCGAGAGCTCCGTCAGCGACGCAGGGAGGTGTGCCGCCCACTCAGTTGCCTCTGCCGTGGGAACCGTCACCTCTGCAGCACAGAGTGTGTGAACTGGGGGCCTGAACTCCTCGCCGACGGACCCTTTCCCTGCGTGCGCGTACTGTGCAGCGCGCCCGTGTGCCGCGTCAGAGCCAGGGCATGCCGCTGCCAGAGCTTCTGATCCTGACGTGGAAGAAAAGCAGCAGAAGGAAATACGGGTCTTTCCAAACACAGGCAGAAGTGGCAGCGTGTTGTAGCACGCAAACTTTTAGCGGACTAAGTGAAGAATGCGTCTTTCACCTGCCAGCTGGCGATGGCATCGTTGCTAGGTGGTTCCATGCCACAAACTTGAATAAACATCTCAAAACTAAAAGCAGGTGTGTGTTGGTATACGTAGGTTTCCGTCTCTTCTCCTTGAGGAACGTAGTCCTTACTGACAGCGAAACCAGGTTGTCCTGCATACTTGGAGGAGGCAGTCCTGTTTGTCTCAGGTGTAGAAAAAAAGGTTATATTTTCTTATACGTGTTTTGCTCTCCAGGTAGTGAGGGAAATTACCCTCTCAAGGTGAAAGAAACTTGAAGGTTTGCTTAAATGTTTTGAGAGCATTTGACAGAAGGTGACATTTGAAACACCAACCATTACTATTAAATTTTATAGCTCAGAACTATTATTGAGCCATATCCTAGAGGTTTTACTCAAACCCATGATTTTTAACACCAATGTCTGGAAGTTAAACTAAAGTGTATTGACATCAAACACCTTAGGTATTTGGTTTGCTTTTCAGAAACATTGAACTCCTTGCAGGGTAGGGCCTCTGGAGACTTTAAAAAGGCAAAAATTTCACTTTGGAGCTTACGACCACTTGTTACGAAGTCTGGCCTATTGTATTTGGCTTTTACCTGCTGTTTTTTTCCAAATGGTTAATTCAATCACAAACAGTTCTTAGCTGTAAGCAGTAGCTTTAGTTCAAGAGCAGAACTTGATATTGGGGTTATTCATGTGAATCCGTGCAGCCAATAACCTCTTCCTCTGAGGTAACCAGATAGTCAGTAAGGTTAAAAACTAACAAAAATTATTATGGACCCATATATGAATGCAATGATTTTTTCCAATATTTACTGAATAACTTGCCTGGGAAATAGGTCTTAGTTTGGCTCTCATGGTTGATTCTAAGTGTCCTCTTACCGATACCCCTGAGACTCTCTGGTTAATTTTGTGGCACAAAATATTTAATTATGCGCTCTGCCAAGTGAATACAAGGTCTCAAATTGAATTTCAGCCTCCCTGGGCAACTATTTTAGACACTTTAGTAGAATGTAAATGCATATTTTCTGCATGCCAGATCCCGGCTCCATATTCATCAAAGTAAATCTTCAGTAGTTCCACTGAAGGCTTGGAACAATCCTAAGTTATGTTATTGAGGTCAGATTGTGACCCTCAAGCTCTGGCAGAGACCCAAACCAAGTAATTTGTGTGGGAAATTGGGGAGGGAATAAATTAGCACTTGCCTATGCTTTTTGTGGGAGTAAACTGTTACAAAGGTGTGAGCTAAGATGAAAGCTCCTAATCGTGGTGGATATTGCATTCCAGCTGTTTCTGCTGGAAATAGCTCTGTGTGTGTGTGTATGGGATGAGTCCTTATTTTCTGATGGTGCTCTGCCTCAAATAACAACCAATTTTACTTTTAATTCCCCTGACTGTCCCCATCCCCCTCACTCCCTCCAAAGGAAAATCACTTAATCTTGTAGAAAGAAAGTCCAGGGGTAGGTTCTTTTGGGGGGTTTTTTGCTCTGGTGAATTTAAACCTTCATTTTCTCTCTACCAAACAAAAGTGGCAGGTCTAAACAGTATTAGGTAATTGTGGTTGTCATACTGCACATTGTACTGCGGAAAAAATTAATTGCTGTTTTTTCGCCCGAAGGTTTAAGCAGCGGTCCCTTGGTCTGACTGGGAGCATGTCATTTTCCTCCCGGTTGAGACTGCGTATCGTCGAGCGGCATGAAAGGATTCCTGTACAGCTGCGCTGGGTGAGTGGGCGGGCATCTCATTCAGTAATAACATCTAATTTATACAGCCATGAAAATCTACAGTTATAAATAAACAATTCTGACTGACTTTGCATACTTATTCAAAATAAAATGAGAGAGAGAAACAGACTGGAAAGAGAAATCTAGTGTAAATGTTAAAAGGCCAGATCCTTACTCAGTGTACCTCAGTAAAGCCTTTTTGAAATCACAGGGAAAATGTGGGTTTGTGATCAACGATGTACGCTTTCCTCCTTACGGGGCTTTGTGTGCATCAGAGAAAGGAGCAAAGCAAACCCAAGATCCCAGCAGCTGTGCTTTGGGGACAGGCAGTCCTGATCGCTTTCCCAAAGCGCATGACTGGGATCCAGCCTCTCCATGCAGGATGTAAGAGAGAGCAGTGCCTCTTCTGAGCCCTTTTCAAAGAAAGAAACAACCCCCCCTTGATTCTCCTCTCCTGCTGGACCCCTGTAGTCCAGCAGGAAAACCACTATGCCAGATCCCAAAGGTAAATCTTGGCGTGAGCAGGAGCCAAGGGTGAGATCTGCCGTCCGTCTCCTGGCTGGACGTGGAAAGAAGTGCCCCTCCGTATCAGGGCCCAGGCTTTGTTTTGAGTTTCTGACACTTAAACTGCTTGCACTGGACTATTAGTACCAAAAAAAACAAAACAAAAACAAAAAAAAAAAACAAAAAAAAACCTCCAAAAACCCCACCCCAACAAACCTGTACAGGGAGTCTCCTGAACTCTCCTCGTCCCTAATTCCCTTCATAGTTTTTCTTCTCTCTGGTGCTCTGAAATATTTGCTTTGACCAGCATCTTTCAGCTGAATTTTTTCCATGTTCTCCTTCAGCTTCAACAGAAAAGGAGGGGGGGGTGTGCGTAATTGCTTACATTCCCCTTGCGAAGTTGGCTGGAGCGAGTTATCTAGATAAGCTGGAAATTATTGAACGCGCGCACGACTTTCATTGAGTTGACTTAGTTTACAGTCTAGCCCTAGTATGTTAACTTCCCAGACTAGAATTTTATCAGGTGCTTAACATGTGAGAAGAACAATCTTATGTATACACATTATTTTTTTTATTGCTCACAGGCAGCTTACAATGTGTTTCGTTTTTACTAAGCTCCAGCAGCATTTGAAAGACGACAATAACACCCCGGTGAACTGCATGCACAGTAGCTCTGAGCTAGGGGTTTTGGCAATGAAGACAGAATTAGACATTTAAGTACTGCAACTAGTTTCAAATCCTCCTTTAAATGCAAGGCTAATAACAGAGATCTTTCTTGTTCACGTTGACCATTAAGGAACACTTACGCTACTGTCGTTTTTGCCTGTTTATTGGAGTTTGCAAAGCAGATCTCCAGTGTTTTAGATGTTAACAAGATGTTGAGGCTAATAACTGAAATCAACTATATTGAGCAAGATTAGTAAACATGTGAATGGAGTGTAATTATATGGCAGGCAGCTTTATGTTAAACAGTGCTTTAAATTAACATGCTTTCTGTCAAAGCAATCATACAGTCAGTATAATTAGGTTACTTTTGCTGCAAGATTAACTGAAACCAAGAAAAATGAAGAAAGTGTTGCGTTCGGATTTCCTGTTAAAATGGAGGGGCGATATTATGCATATTAATATTCCAGAATGTTTCTCATTAGAAGAACTTGGCTTCATGGTGAACTTTCTGAGCAGACATTCCTAATTACAGTCCTTGTTAGCCCAATTTGTTATCTAGCTAGCTTAGAAGTCACAGCACTGTTAAAATTACCCCTCCTCTTAATTTTTTCCAGACTTGATGAAGGGTAATCCAAACAAGAGCTGGCTTGCATTCACAGGTCTTCTACAGAGTGGTGCCAAGCTCATGAGGGAGTTCGTTTACCAGTGACGAGTTTTAACCATGGACACATCCTCACGTACATTGTGCAAGAGATGAGAAATCTGTGTAAACAGATGAACACAATTTTCTTATTCATAGCAGTTGCAGAGTTATCATGTAAGAGGCAAAAATTTCATATTTTCCACTAGTCTTCCATATGGCTGATGACATAATGGCTTCACCAGAAGCTGCAATGCATTGGAGAAAGGATTTATCACAGCTGCATTTGTTTTCCTCTACTTCATGGTTTCAGCATTCACGGAGAGATTGTTTGGCTTGAAGAGGAGGATTCACTTGCCTTTCTGCCTGTAGTCCAGTATTACTATTGAATCTCCTGTTTGGAGGCAGAAGAGAACAGATTATTGGGGAAATAGGCACAAGAGAGAAGTCCTCTCACAGATCAAGCACACTGTTGGGAGGAGGATGTGAACCTGGCCCCAGCCTCCCAACACCCCTGCGGAACCGAACCCGTCTGGGAGTCGGAGTAAGCTATGAGTGCATGGCTTGGACCAGCTGCGAATGCCAAAGTGCGGCAGAAGTTGAATGAGCCTGGGATGTCCCTAGCAAGTAAGGGATTACTCAGCTACTGAGGAATGATTTGAAATCTACCGTGGGACACATCCCTTGGAAATAATGGTGCTTTGCTAGTGGGGGAAAAACTGTCTGCCACCAAGCAAGCCTATCTTGGTGCAAGATTACGTGAAAAGCTTTAAAAATAAAGCTCATCTGAAAGGGCAGCAGACGAGTAATCCTGCAGCTAAGATATCTGGAGCATCCTCACGTGTCTGGCCAGGATGGCAGAGGACCTACCAAAGACCCACAGCTTTCTGAAGCACCGGCTAGAGACCAGATGTGCTACCGTCGGGCACCAAGTGGTGCATATATTGCATATATTTGGCAATAACCAAATATATTTGGGTACTCTTATCTAAAGCACTGTCTCAGCCTCTCTTCTTCCCTGTTGATGATCATTTACTCACAGGGAACCCTCTTTTAAAGGTGCTTTCCTTGTCCATAGACCTCAGAGACTCTGAAACACTGATTGCTGTATTTTATTTATCTCCAGCCTGCACAGCATTTGGCAAATGACTTGATATGGAACAAAATCCTAGCATGTCTTCCTTCCCAAATGATCCTGTAAGTCTTTTTTACTGACCAACTAGAAATTTTAAAGACGAGGGAGAAAAAACTCCACCAAGAAAAAGACTAGCCTATTAGGCCAGGGACAGCGTATTAGCAAGCACCTGTTAGTATCTGGCCTCCAGTGATGAAATCCTAAGCCCTGGGTTGCCAGAGCTTCCGATCTGGTCTCCCTCCAATGGACCATCAGATAAACTTGTCAGCAAGAGTAGGGCATGTGACAGATGATGCAGGTTTCCTTTAAATAGCCAGACTCCTCTACCCGAGGGGTAAACTGCAGCTTGGGTGAGTGACAAATATGAAGGCTATGAATATGCCATCACAGGTTTGTGGCACAACTAGGATGAACGGATGAGACAAAAGTAAATATTCATATTTAGTTTGCAAACTCTGGGCTGTAAATCCTCTTAAATTTGAGTTCTGTTTGTCACTGGTAATATACTGAAATTGTAGATACAAACATTATTTGTTCACTGAAAGAAATCGATACACCCTGGACTCTTATTCTTTGTTTTTAAAGGCATGATAGAACAAATGAAGATCTCTTCTGGGAAGGAGGCTCAGTTTAAAAATCCCTTCTGGACGCTGTAATAACGAAGGGTGGAACCTGTGTCTGGATTGATAACCACCTGCAGAACATGAGCATTTTAACATTCATACAAAAACTGCTGTTCATAAGCCTGTACCAGTACAATGGTAGAACGACTTCGTACCCCACACAGTTGCCCTTTGCATCCCTTTATTTGCCACTCGGGTTTCTGCAATCTCAGCAGCTGCTCAGAAGAATGAGAGCATCGAGAATTCAATCATATTATAGCATTGCTTTGTATTGCACAGATTCATGTGCTGTCACATAGGCTGGGTTTCCCAATAAGCTGACTACAAGGTATTAAGGGAGCTTGGTTTCATAAGCACGTAAATATAAAAATAAAACCCAGAGAAAACAGTCAGTTCCTAAAACATGTTATACGTTTCTGGAAAATGCATTTAATGCAGAAGTACTCCAAAAAGAAGAGGAAAAATACATTAAAGAGAAGATTGCCGTCTAACTTTAGCTCAGCCCTAGCTCAACGTGTTTCAGCAATGTCTTTGCAAGATATTCAAGAGCTCATAGAAGATCTGGAGGAGCACATCCATCCATGCACTGGGCACAAGGAAGTTACTCCACCATAAGTTTCCTCTTTTTCCTGAGAGCAATGGCTCTTATTGTTGTCGTACTGCCTTATCCCTTGCTTTACGGTATCTTTAATTCTGGCTTTGCCACCCTGGTGTTCCTCAGCCAGCTGCTGGCCAAAGCTTTCCCTTCTGGAGGACAGCGAGCATCCAGGCATGGGTCTATTGGAGCTGCTGCCCGCTCCGACAGCCAGCCTCCCTTTCTGCCCCGTTTCCCTCCCAAAGGACAGTTCCACCACCTGGGGATGAGCATTCCTCTGGACTTAGCAGAGGCCTTGTAGCTGTAAAATCTCACAAGTGGTTTGCCCAGTGTCCCTCAGCTCCCCACTGGTGGAGCGGGTAGCTGTTGCTAGCTATAGCTCCTATCCACCTGCATTTCAAAGTATTGAAATGAAGCAGCTGATGAATGTTGTTTTGGGGCTTTTTTCAGGTGTGTGAGGTGGAAGACAAATGAATCTGCTCCATCTTCCAGTGCTGGTGCTAGAGATGAGACCTCACCTGAAATGTTGCTCTGTGTGATGTGGAGAACTTTGATCCGAATTTCTCCTGAGGATCTGGTTGTCTCACCGGGCGCAAAACCCGAGGGAAAACTGCTTTGATTTATTTTTGAGGGTTCTAGTTTGACTGGTCAAAGTAGCATGAGATCAGTTGCCTGCGTGATGTTTTCTACCCATCGGGAATGGGAGAAGCTATCGCACTGTTCATCTTTCGTACTCGGACCCTGCAGCCAAATTCTTGGCTGAGGTAAATTTATGGCAGTAAAAGAATCAGCCCATTGTTTCCAATTACCCTCTTTGGAGTTTCTGTATTGCTCAACATTGTCTAGTACTCTAGAAACTCTGGGATTTAAAACAAAAAAAAAAGTCATTACTGGTACTATTTTCTGTGCCTCTCAGGCTGTGCAGCTGGGTTGCCTTAGTTACCACCAGTCCAACTGTGCAAGGGGAGGGAGAGGCACATGAGAGATAATACATTTTTAAAACCTCCAATACTGTATGAAACAGTTTGTCTATAAATAATAAAACAAATTTAGGGTCTGGCATCTTTTGGTTGTTCTGAAAAGGAAAAACAAGGTTATATTATTTGACAGCCTGGATTTTCCAGCTCTCAGAAATGATACTGCATCTTTCTGGTCAAGCACAGGACATAGCTTTAAAAATTACTTGCTTGAAGCTGAAAGCTGCCATCCATAGACTTTGGAATAAGTCGGAACTGAATATAGCTTTAAGGGTGAAAAAGAGTAAAATATTTATGTAGCTGGTTTTAGGAAAAGTGATAGTGGCTTGAAGCCATAAAGGAACATGGAAGAGAGCCCATATGAAGCATGGTATGCTGTGGGACAAGCTTCATTTGCAGCCTACAGCCTGCCACGGGATGCAAGTCCAGAAGGAAACCAGGCTTGCTACTCATGTGGAGCTATTCGTTAATCACTTCTTGCACCTTCAAATAAATACAACTTATCTGGGCACAAACTCGGCAAGCTTTCTTCCTTCAAGTGGGAAAGAAAGAAAAAGAAGCAGCTGCCCCGGAGCCTTTCCCTTTGGGGCGAAGCCTGGTTGCAGCAGCCCAGGCAGGGCTCTCTGCCCTGGCAGATGCCGCCAGCATCAGCTCTAATTGCTTGGTGGCTACAGGTGTTACTGGAGAAGGTGTTTCCAGACTTGCCTATAGGAACGTAGTGGACAATTGCATTATTCTGTAACTCAAACTGTGCCTTTGGGGGATTGAGCAGGAAGCAAAAGAGAGGGCAGAAGTGCCCTTCCACATGCTTTTTCTTTTGGGGGAGGGAGGAGGTGGGCAGCGTGGAGGGTATGGAGAGATGAAGAGGTCTGTCCCCTACCACCGCAGATTGTTTTGCTTTTTGTGTGTGGGGTTTTTTGTTTTCTGCAGGGTTATTTTAACTGCAACATCTCCCTTATTGTGATGGGAAGGTGAGACAGGAAAGGGTAGGATGAAAAAAAGCACATGGAGCCATTTTTGCTGTGAGAAGAAAGGTATGTTGGAATCGTGTCTTCATTCAGTTTGCAGCTGTTTTTACTCTGGCAATGCTGAGCCAAAGATTTGTCTCAGTCAGGAACATATTAAGACTCTGGCACACTGTAATTTGGAATAGTTTCCCTCTGGCTGTGTTTCAGTGCTTATTGGGACCTTGTTATCAATACCAGCTTAAGGAAGTCCTAGCCTTCTCTTGGGGAGACACAGCTGGGAAATGGATCGGGAAAATGATCTGAGTTGAAAACAGCCCCTGCTTGCAAGAAACAGGCAAGTGTGGTGGAGTCGGAAGGAGCGAGGGGCGGTGGGCAGGAGCTTATAGAGAAGTTACTGCTGCCAAAGCCCCCGTATTATCAAACCGCAGCCTCAGGTACCACAGAGTTGCCAGCTATTGGGGTGCAGCTTGCAGCTTCTTTTATCAGTGTACAGCAAATCCAGGGAATGCTGCCAGTCCTGGGGGTGAAGAGCTGAGGATGCACGTGAAGTAGCAAGAGTTTGCACAAACATGGGTAACTGTAACTCGGGGGGAGTGTCCTGCACGTGGATGAAAACACCATGTAATTGTTAAGGCCATGATTTTGTGGTTCCGTTGAAAAATATCAAGTATGCATGGAGAGGCAGACCCACCACACGCAGGAGGCCTCCACGGATTGCAAGAACACACCAGATGCCAATGAGGGATATCATGTATGCTGTGTTTATGTATATTTTCTGAGGTTACATTCATGCTATCACAACTGCTTTTCAGCCTTTCTGGGTGCTCAGAAAAGAAAGTTGAGTGCTTGCCTCAGTTTCTTTAGAAATCTCTTAAGTGAGTATATTCAGTCAGCTGTTCAAAATGTGACTAATTTTTGCAGTTAATTTGATTTCTGCTTGGCACAGCCTTTTGTCTGATCAATTAACATCTTGGAAATCAAATTATTTTAATTCTGATTATCTCCAACTTATGCATCAGGCATACTCTAGGCCTGACATTACTAATACGTACTCAGTGATGAAAAAATCTGATACCTAGATGTATCAGATATCAGATCTCATATAAAGACCTATACTGTCTTATAGTGATGATGTGGCCTTTTATTAGTAATAGTTACCATTTATGTGACGCCTCTTAAACCAGAGCTAGTGCAGAAAGGCTGCAGATCTGTTTTCATTTACCAGCAATCCTCATCTCGTATCATGTTTATGCGAGAATAGAATTCAGCCAAAACTTCCAAACATGGACATGTAGAGCAAGCATCTGATTTGCAAAGGTATTGAGCGGTGAAGTTGGTTATTCAGCACATTTGAAAGTCAATCTGCTGCTTTTAGGTAGCTGAGTACGGATGGTGAGAGACTAGCTACAGACACTCTACTTTGGCTTGACAGGCATGTGAGACTTCACAAAATAGATCAGGCATCAAATGTTCCCTGAGAACAGAGGGAGGTTGTCTTATTTATTTTCAGAGGTGGTTTTGCAGCATTTTTTCTTTGATCAGAAAGCCAGTTTAAGAAATTGCAAATTTTCATACATTTGTCCTAAATAAAATACACACGTTTTCCTGACAGAAACACTTTCATCCTCAAAAACTTACTCTTGAATGAAAAAGGAGAGAGGAAACCAAAAGGGGGGAAAAAAAAAAAAAAACCCATGCCAAACCCCCAAAACTGTTTCATCAGTTCTTTCTTTCTTCCACCTGTTGAATGTGTCCTCCTAAACTACTTTTTTTTTTTTTCTTCTAACTGCCCATTTGTTCAAGGAAGCTGCCTTTCATTTTCTTTAAATCACTACTGATTATACCACTACCAAAGCAGAAGGGAGATGATCTCAACAGTTTGAAAAAACTTTCTGAAGTGCTGTTTTACTCACGGAGCCGCTGCAGTGCTTTCATTTGGATACACTAATGCCTTCCTATAAATTGTCAGTAAACAGTGCCATTCCCTAGTCTTACAAACACCATGCGATGCAGGTGTAAGAGTTTTAGCCAGAGAGATTTGGATTCTCTGGACCCTCGTTTGAGAAGGAATTCAAAATCTGGTGATTATGCTGGTAAGAGGTGCTTCTCAAGCCCCATCAGAGAAAGCTGGCCCAGCCTTGTACCTGGTAGGGTTGGGATTCTTGCTCCGATTTGTTCTCTGTTAGTAATTGGTTAGGACCTGGTGATCTCTATCAGACACCCAAATGCCACCCTCCAGTGTACAAGGGCCCCCTTCCTCTCCCCACCTCCCTAGGCAATCACAGGAATTCATTTTAGATTTTTTTTTTTCATATGGACAGAAGTGAAAAACAAAACTTGGACTGACCCCATATCATACAGTTGAGGAACTCCCCGAAGTTGTAGAAAGACACGATGACGGCAAGGCTACCGGCAAAAAAGGCTGCTAGCCCGGCCGGGCTGAACAAAGCAAAGAGAGGATATACCCACTCTCCCGTTACAGAATAAATCCACAGGACCCTAGGCAAGGAGAGAAATGACCTTTGGTTAGGACCATTCGATTAGAAGAAGCACTTCATGATTTCTAACTCCTGAAGGGCCAAGTTATCAAAACAATCTTGATACAGAGAAAATTAGCTCAGCTGTCGATACACCTCCTCGGCATTTGGGCTATTTGCTGTGAAGCACACTTGAGCCGCTGCTAAATTAGATGGGTTTCAGCGCAGGTTGAAATGCACACAACGTTTTGCTGTTACCCTGGTGGCACTGGCTATTAACGGCAGTAAAATAACAGTAAAATAGCAAAATGCTCAGAAATAGGGACGTGCGCTTGGCTATTCTAAGTGAAGCTTATTCACGTAAGCTCTCACGCAGTGTTTGCTCTTTAGTTACAACAGCTTTTCGGCCCTTATCTAGATCTCGAGGGTCTGTGGAGACAAAGTACTGTTTCTCACTGTCTCTACCCTGCTGCTGTTGACCACTGTTTTGGGGAGTGGAAAGAAGTTTTGCGGAGGCGAGAGGGCCAGGGGAATTCTCCAGCACCTTTTCCCTCGGTCTAAGAGGAGGAGGAGCAGGTAGGTAGGAAACAGATGTAGCTGCTTTGCTCCTTTGTGCCAGAACCATCTGCAAAGCACTGTTTGGAAAAGGGAAAGAAGGAGAAGGAAGAGGATTAATATGCCTGCTTTATAGGGCTTCTTTTCTTCTACTTTCTGCCTTTTTCTTCTCTCAAAAAACATCTTATAGTGTCTGTCAGTTCACCGATATTTTCACTGTTTACGGCTCGTAAGAGTGGCTGGTAGCAAATGTCTGGACTTAAGAATATAAAAATGGTCTTTATATATTAAATATAGGAAAAAGTACATTTTTATGGATGAAATTATATATATTTGTATTGAATAGGTAAAGAATATAAAAAATAGGGCAGGTCTCCAGTGATTGTTATGAGGACGTGCCATTCTAATGATGGGCAGCACTTCCCTAAAAAGAACCTTTGGGTCCAAAGAGTCCTAAAAGGTTTAATTCTTGATTAAAAAAACCACATCTGAGGACTATGCCATACTTTCCACCACCAGTGCTAACATGGGAATGCAATCCCACTCTCTTTGATGGCACCCAGCCTGCCACCTTACACTGAGCATCACGCCTCAAAGAGAAGTGACAAACAGGCTGCCCCACCAGCCTGAAACTGTGTCACGAAACTGAGGAATGGGAGAGTGCTAAGAAAAAAAAAAAAAAAAAAAAAAAAAAAAAAAAAAAAAAAAAAAAAAAAAAAAAAAAAAAAAAAAAAAAAAAAAAAAAAAAAAAAAAAAAAAAAAAAAAAAAAAAAAAAAAAAAAAAAAAAAAAAGGTCAGAAAAGATGATTTCTCTTTTCTCTAGTTAGAGAAGGAAGGGGTAGGGCATAAAAAAGGTGGGGTTTTACCTTGCCTGTGAAGAGAGATTCACTAATCCCCACCTAAGGGGTAGAGTGGAGAAATGGAGGGGGTTGGTAGTGGAGCTGTCTGGGCTAAGCGTGGAAATGTTAAGTGTAGAGACTCATTTTCATGATTTAAGGTTCTTTCATCAAACGAACAGGGCTGTGAAACAGCTAAGTAATTAAAAAAAAAAAAAAAAAGCCTGCACAAAAGGCCACAGAGAGGCTGAGCAGACATACTGAAGACCGGGTGCTAACTGGAGCCCGTGCAAATGTCAGCATGTGTTCTTCACTGCACAGGGCTACTGTTTTCTTAATGTGTCTCAAACAGTAAAACAGAGAGTGACAACCACCTTTATTTTATATAATGAGGAACTAGATTATCTTGATGCAATTTGGCCAGCTGGCGTGCCTCATATGAAGCACTCCCAACCCGCATTTTCAAACCTAAACAAATGTCTATGCAGGAGTACTAAAGCCCTTTCAGCTTTCTGACTTGGTGGGAGCTGTGTGTTGCCAGATTTTTTATCTTGGGGCATACCTCCAGATTCCTGAACTTACTCATTTTGATCACAGAATGGTTGGCAGTTTTTGGTTTTAGTTTTTTGGGGTTTCTTTTTTTTGCTAGGGATTTCATAAAACGCACCCCACAGCTTGCAAATACATATTGCTCATTTCTCATGGGTAATCACCTGTTAAATATACATGCAGGATTCAGAGGCTTATTATTCTGAAGATTTCATTTAACCAGATTTCAATTTTTACCAAGATTTTACCTTGGCTATCAGTGAGTGAGTCAGACGCAGACAATGCCCAGAATTATGGGGAGGCTAGATTGAGAGAACAGCCCTGGGTTGTTGCCAAACTGCTATAGGATAGAGGACAGCATATAGATACCAGGGAGAGGTCATGTGCTGTCATAGTACAGCTGGATGCAACTGGGGGATTTATCCTGTCCTCTCATCACCTGTCCATTAATGTTAATGGGACCACCGCATTCACTGAAGGGAAAAAAAAGCGTCTCTAGGGAATTATTAAATGGGAAGATCCAGAAAGGAGAAAAGAACATATTGGCCACACATGAGCTCTCTGAGACTGTGGTTAATTCAAAATTAAAAGGTTGTGAACTGAAAATGAGCATGCAGTGAAGGAAAAATATTTTGATTGCTAATAGAGGTGGAATATGGACATATTACAAGAAAGCCATCAGTCTGTAGGTTTAATTTGGTTTGGGTTTTTTTGTACTTTAGTTTTGTATACAGAGTGCAATCTATAATGATTTATATTTGCTTGCAAAGGTAGTTTGAACCTTTCTCTGAAGACACCGCAAAATTGTGAAGACTAAGATTTATTTTATACTGATCTATTACCACTGAAATGGGAAAGGGCAATCTATTGTTACTTCTTTTTTAAGATTTAAAATGCCAGTTCTAAAATTTATATGTTCTTCACTGTTTTCAATGTGATGACTCCAGGAGTAAGGCATTACTTAATGCAGCCAGGAGATGCAGGATTCATCCTTGCAAGAACTAACTAACATGCCTAACGGTTCTCTTAGCCCTGGTGTCCTGCAACTGAAAGCCACCTTTCCTTTTTGAACACTATGGGTATTCAAAGCTTTAGTGAATGCCTGCTCAGAGGCAGGTACCCGGTGCAAGGCGTCACCGGCTGCTCGGTTTCTCTACTGCCTTGCAAAGACCAGTCAGTTCTCAGCCCACCGACACCGGGGAAGGGAAAGCGCAGCGGAGACAGTGAGAGTTCAGGGAGAGGCTTTTAGGAAGGACTCTGTTGCTTGTGAAACATAAGGTGCCCAAATGGGGCTATTAAATCACCAGGTTGCAGCACCAACAGTAAAATGTGTACACGTGTGAAGATTTCAGTGCACAGGCTAAAATTTTTTCTGTTAGTTGAAAGCTGTTGTCTCTGGTTGCAGGGAACCAAGACAAGGAGGCAAAAAGAAAGCAGACAGGAGGTTACTTGCTGCCTCAGGAGGAGAGAAAGCAACACTATTGAAATCCTAATATCTTTTATCCAGTTACCAGGGCCCTGGGACACAGGGGACAAGCGCTCTAAGGGACCGTCTTCCACTCAGGACCCCGGCAGCACCATGCAGCATCAATTCAGAGAAGATAGCGGGAGGGCTCAAATGGGTTATGCTTGTGTTGATCCTCATCCTTTGATGAGGATTCGGGTCCTGGCATGACCCGTGTCTCCTGTGGGATGAAATTGCTCAGCTGATGGGGGCTTTGGGGGAAAAGCATGGCACACATGACTGCAATAGTTGCCTGGAGAGCCATCTGGTCTCAAAGACAGTAAAACCTAATGCTGTCAGAAAACAAGCAAAACAAAGCTGGCATTAAGCAACTGGGTGAACCAGAACATAGAAAAGGAATTTAGGAAGCCGTGGTCGTAATCCTATTAGGCTCTGGGCTGGGTTAGGATAAATGGCTCCGATCCTGGTTACGTAATGTAGCAGTGAAGTCCATTGCTTCCGCAGCCACTCTGGTGGGTTTCAAGTCGCAAGAGCGTTTCATCTGTGCAGTTTATTTTCTATTCCAGATTTTCATTCGGTGGGCTGAAGGTAGTCTCTAACTGAGAGTGAGAACTGGTGGGTAAGAATGGGAAGGATGGGTTCCCTCATAATCCCAGTGACTTCTCAGAAATCTTTGCATGAGGACAAGTCACCTCCCTGCTGACCAGTTGTTCTGTATCCTCCACCCTAGGGCCCGGGTGTTTCCCAAGCTCTGGAAAGTGATATTGCAGCGTACCCTGAAACTATACAGACCCATTCCTGAGCTGACTCTCAACATAAGGCATCCTCAGAGTGGTTTGAAGTGTTGGCAGCTGCCCACAGTTAGACGGAGTGGGCAGTGCCTCCAGACCCTGGCACTGCAGCCAGGATGCAATGAGCAGGAGCAGATGCAAACCCAGCTCTAGGGGTGCGTGGCACACACACAGGAGGTGGGTGGATGGCTATGGGCTGGGGCGGGGCCTGGTTAGATATAGTTTATTCTCTCAGGATCACCCTCCAACAGGTTGGAGATCAACTGGCACATTGCTGGAAATGTAGGCGGTGTCCACCGGTGGAGTGGGAGGTGGCAGTGGGGCAGATGCCTCCTTGCTACCCGTCACTTTGCACCTGGCTCTGAGTATCATTTTCTATCTCAAGTTTCTAAACCCAGCCATGTGTCCCTGCCAAATACCAAATGGAGTTTTACTCCTCTTTTGCTCCCGTGACCCCCCAGACCTTTGAGATTTGGTGCTTTTGTAGCGAGCAAGAGAGCGAGTGGAGGTAAATTTGATGGTACTGGTAGAAATAAAACCTCCAGCCCAGCAGAAATAACTCAAAGTACCCTGGAGTTTATGGTAATTTAGCTGCTTTTCTATAAGGGGCCTTAGAAGAGCAGGAGATACTATGTATGGTCTCAGGACCTGTATTGTGTTTGAAGAAACCTGCTCTGCCTACGTCTGGAAATAGTTTTCATGGGTCTCAGCTGGAGTTTAAATGACTTCTCCACAGAACAGACTGTTGTCTCCCATGTGCCTGGGAGGGAACTTAAATTTAAGTACAGTGTTTGGCCTTGTTTTACAAAGCAGATCACTTGAAGAAAATGTTTTAAAGTACATAGTTCTTACCAACTGATATACAGAAAAGCAACAAATCCTAATAGGATCAATCCCTTCTTCTTTGCCGGGTAATGGTGCGGCGTGGCAAGGATTTCCAGGACAGCAAATGGCAATACAACTGTGTGCTGAGGAGAAAAGAGAGTCTGTCACTGACCGGTCGCAGTGCCTCGCCTTCGGTCATTGCTGATCATGAAGCTCAAGAGTCTGCCCGTGAGCAAAGGATTATTTAACAATACTGAATGTAATTGTATACAAATGCGCATACTTCATTTTTTTATAGTGAAGAAGTACCCCTGCAGTAATGAGCATGGAAATTTTCTCGTTAGTATGCTGTAAATAGTACTGTAATGAGGTCTGCCTGTAGAATGATCTGCGTTACTTTATAATAGGTGAGCTTTCCTTTTACGTTTTATAATGCAATAAATTTTTTGGTAATTCCCATTAGAGTACAAAAGATATTGAAGTCTATTGTTATGTGCGCTTGTGGATGTCAGAAGTCTCCTCCCTGAACTCATTAAGCAATTGCTGAATTGCCTTCATGTTCTCTTCAAGTCGTTATTGTATTTTATATATTGT